TTGCCCATTCCTGAAGATAAAAAATAATCAAGTATTTTATAACAGTCTACCAGTACTGGACCAAAATAATTCTGTATGAACTTGGTTAAAGTCCCTTAATATTTGTGTTCAGCTGGTAAGATATGTAAAATAAGTTGAAATTATGTTTTTTAAAGTAACTTCCAATTCTAATTGTCAATTTTTGAGTTACTAAAAATAACTCTCTAGGACCACTGGGTTCCATCCCTGGCTCTCAACCTAAATGCTCCCCAAGTTCACAAACTCTCAAATCTTCAACCAATTTCTCTTCAAAGTGATACTGCTCTTTTTCAGGCTAAACTAGGATCTAATTCATGCTTTTAGAGAACTTCATTTAAATAGTAATTAGCAGCACAGTTTGTTAAACACAGCTCATGTACAGCTATTTAGTGGCTAAATAGATGCCTGTGGTTTTAATATAAACATAAGGCAGCAAAGAGATGTTATAACTTGCCATTGAAACAAAATTAAAACAACTGTTAAATGAAAAAAATTTACACTGGAGATATCACAAATAAAGTTTCACTGATGTTCAAAGAAAATACATATTCAATCTTAATTTTAGTTTTAAGTGAATTATAAATATTGTCACTTTTACAAATTAAATGCAATGTATTGTTAAAGGTTCCTAAAAGCACTGGTTAAATATCTGAGGAAGTTCTGACTTTCAGTTCCAAAATGTTATCTCTATCTGCCAGATACCATCTCCAACCTCCTACTAGAACTATTCTATAGACCTAATTCTGTGTTTGCTGAAAAGCCTAATTTTATTTTGAAATTCAATTCTCACATAATACAATGGAATGCTTCTGTGTTCCTTTCTTTCTAGAATATAACCAGAGATTCTACTATCTGAATAGTTGAAATAATTTTGCACTTTCAATGTAACTAGTCACCTAAGTAAAAGTCTCACAATGGAGATGTTACTGGGCCCACTGGAGCAAATCAATGAACGGGAGGACAGTGCTACAGTGCTTTGAGATGATATTACCAAATGCCCTTCAAAATAAATTAACTAATTTACACTTCCATCTGAGTTTCTTTCCCACATCTTTAGCAGGACTTGGCTTAACATCTTCCAATCGTAGAGTGAAAACATTTTCATAGGTTTAATGGAATACTTCCAATACTGTATCCTGTATGAATTATTTATTTTCCAAAGAGCATATATACATATGCTATCATTCCTGGCGGCAGAGCCTGGCAAGCTACCTGTGATGTATTCGATATGCCAAACACAGTAACAACAAAGTCTCCAATGGAGACGTTACTGGGCCCGCTCCAGCAAATCGATGAACAACAGGAAGACAGTGACAGGATCGTTCCTGGCATCCATTCCTAGTCCTTCTCTTTATTTTTCTAATTAAATAATAAAAATGCCCAAACAAAAAGCAACTTGAAAATGTTGCCTCTTGACTATTCCCTAAGATAAACTATAAAATGTGGACTTCTCAGCAAAGTTTGGTACACTTGACAGGAGATAGTCTGATTAAAATATCCATGTTAAGCAAGCATGGCATAAGGTTAATCCAGAATCTGGAATGCAGTGCATGCTTATAGTGCTCCTTGCTTTGGGAGCAGGATGAGAGGAAAAAAGTTGAAATTCAAAACATTTGTTTTAAAACAGTGAGCAAAATAAATTGAAATAAGGGGGAAAAAATGGATACACGGGAGGTACATGTTTCACTTATGAAGTTATGATATACATTATACATGGAGATAAACGTGAGAATAGAGGTTAGATGAGATCTGAAATAGAACCAGAGAAAAATGAAAAGAATCAAAGCTAAAAAGATATGCAGCTGAGAAGGCACACAGGTGGGAAAGAGCAAAGCTGTGGGTCTCAAGGTCTACCCACTAAGCAACCCCCAAAGAGCATGGAAATCAATTTTAAAATATAGAAACAAAGTGGTTTTTCATAATGATGAAACGAAAGAAATAAAATTAACTAAGTGTCATAGCTACAGGGAAAACTAAGCAAATATTCCCTTTTTTTGCCCCACAAGGCATTCAAGATCTTAGTAAGAACCTAACCCAAAATTAAAGTTCGTTGATGATGGCATAGCCTAGGATGGATGACACTAGGCTAAAATCTCTATGGGAGGAGATAATCAGCTTGTTTATATCCCACCTTTTTCCAGAAGGTAATATGATAAGGTTAATACAATATAAAGTCAGATCAAGGAAAGGAGAAAAGCAAATATCCCAAATATGCGAACTAATAAAACTGCTGTGGTTAAGTATTAAATTCAGTCTGAGTTTATGAATAAACAAAGCGAAAATGGTAAACAATACAAATCAGAATTTCATAATAGTAAAACAGCTTCTCAAATATTTTCTGGAAAGCAATAAGGGCACTTGTCATGTTGGCCTGAAAATCTAACATCCTAGTGAGGTTTACAATAAATAAATCAATTTTGTTCTTATTAATTTATGTAGCACTTAACACATGCCAAATAATGTTCTAGGTCCTTTGTGAAATGTTAACTCATTTGAATTTCACAAGGCTCTTCTTTTAATAATCCTTTTTAAAAACTGGCAATGTCCTGTGTGCTGGCATTCCAGGTGCCTTGTTGATTGAGGGATGACCTATGATTTTGGAAGCTGAGGATAACAGGATCAAGGGGAGCTTTACCACACTGAAGAGATAAAATTTTAATAACACAAAGGTAAAATGAGAAGAGTTAAAAGAGGAAAACTACATTTGGAAATCAGATCACTCAGGAAATAAAATCTCTGAAGTCAAATTTTAAAATATTTTCCAAAACTTGAGGCCAGTAATCTTCACTTAATATGCAAATCGGAGCGCTGTGTTCAACCTTGAACTTAATTTAAGCCCCAAGTTACAATATACTTGGTTTGCTGCTGAACCAGTCCATTCAAATAAAAAAACTTTGTGTAACCTAAAGTAAACAAATATTGGCTATTTAATTGACCAGGGCATCTGAGTAAATATTCTCGACTGCTTTCCTTGGGAACCTGGAGGATACAGGGCAACTTTTTTATGTGGCCCAATCAATGTGTGTTAGCCTAAATAAGAGTTTGAAAGTTACTGCTAGGAGGTCTTATTTAGAAAATCACCATGTTAGAAGCTTCTGGAAAATACGTAAATCACAAAAGCAGATCAATCTGACAAAAGTGGAAACGGGGACCGAGAGCCTCAGAGACTAGAAAACACTTTCCAAAGAGAAAGCAGTTTCCACTCTCGGAGTGACAGCGTGGAGGTTAAGGTGCTTGCCTTCCAAGGCAGACCTAGGTTGGATCCCTGGCAACTCACTGGGTGCCAGAGCCCACCAGGAGTGATTGCTGAGCTCAGAGTTAGTTGTAAACCCTGAGCACCTCCATGTGTGCCCCATCCATCCCCAGCCCCAAGAAAGAACGCAGCTCCCATTCTACAGACACTAAGGGCAACTTTTACATGACAGTAGGGTACATGCAATTTCAACCATGTACTATAAACACGTGCTTAAACTCTTGGCATGCCATGTAAACCAGATGACGTTCAAAGTAAAAGGGGTGTCAAATGAGATCAAGATTAAGCACAGACATTCCAGAGTATAAAAAAAAACACGGTTGAAATTTGGCAAGTCTACGTTTTTTAACATGAAGGAAACTGAATCATTGGTGCCAAGATGTTAAATGGCCTGCCCGTGGCCACAGGCTACTCTGTAGCACAAAACCATTAACTACCCAAAAAGTGTGCATCTCACCAAACTGGAAAAAAAAATGCAGTAACACTTTTTGCTTGGGGGGGAAAGACACTTTGGTTGGGACCCTTATAAAGAGGTGACAATTTCCACTAAAGGAAAACCACTAAGCAGGCCTACTAAGGTTTAAAGTAGCATCATCACATTTCCAGTTTGACTTAAGGTCCTTCGGGACTGGAGACAGTAAGTAAAAAGGGGAAGCACCGGGTCAAGAAACACTGCAGCGCAGGAAGAGAACTGAAAGGTCTGTTTCTAACCCCCCAACCCCCATTCCTAAAATGAAGTGTGCTCAAGTTCATGCACAAGATAAACCGCAACCCCGCTTCCCAGGCTGTAAAAGAAAAAAAAAAAAACTAATTCGGTGTTGAGGCTTACCAGCCCGGCCATAAGACACGAGGAGCTCGCATCCCACCACGAGATGGGAAGATTCTCGATTCAGATTCTTTTTCCTCTCGGCCACTTTCTCTCTCTCTCTTTCTCTGCCTTGTATCTCCCCCCCACCACCCCAACCTCATCCTTCCCATCCAACACACCCGACTGATACCCGCGCCCCCCACCCCCAGCCCAAGGGCACACAGGTGGGTCTGCACCTCGCTCCCCATCCTCGACCATCCGCCGGCCCGTCCGCCGCCTCGCCCCGCGGAACCCCCACTTCCGGTGCCCCAGATGGCTGGCACTCACGCCCCGGGCCCGCCGCCCCGGCAATGCCGGGAGGGCGACGAGGCTGGGGAGAGGGGGCAGTGATCGCCGGCCGCGCCGACTGGGGAGAGGGGAAACCCGAGCCTGGAAACGCGTCGGGCCAAGGCGCACACCGGCTCTGCTCGCAGCCAGACTCCCTAAATGTCACTGGGTTGGGGATGTCGGGGAGGCATCTCCCGCGACGCCGGGAGGGCGGCCAGGCGCTGCAGTGCGTGCGTGTGTATGTACATGTGTGTGTGTGTGGGTGGGTGGGTGTGGGTGCGTGGGATGGGAAGGGATCGGCTCCCGGCTCTGGGCGCCGGCTGCGCTCTCCCGGGGGGGCCCCCGAGGCGCCCACGGCGGGGGCGGAGAAGGGAAGTGCGGGCCCCGCTGAGGGGCGCGGGCGGGGCCGGGCCTAATCACATGGCGCAGACGGCGCAGGCCGCCCCGCATCTCTTTCTTTCTCTTTCTCCAGCCTCCGCTCGCTCCCCGCCCGCCCCTGCGCCCGGGCCCGGAGCCCCCGCGGGGCTCGCACACGCACACACACACACACACACACACACACACACACGTACACACGCACACACACACACTCACTTTTCGCCCGAGGCCGCCGGCTCCTTGCCCTCGCTGTTTCCGAACCCATCCGTCTCCCCGGAGCCGTCCTTGGGGCTGGACGCCGGCGGGGTGGCCGACGGCGACGCCCCGGTAGGTGGCTGTTGCTGCTGCTGCTGCTGCTGCTGCTGTTGTTGCGGCGTCGGCGACGTGCCCCCCTTGCCCAGCTCCTGCAGGATCTCCGAAGGCGAGCTCGAGAGGCCCAGCGCCAGCGGCCCCGTCGGCCGGCCACCCCCGCCCCACCACGGGTGGAGCCGCGCGGCGGTCGCCGGGCCCACGGCAGCCCGGCCTCCGGTCCGGGGGCGCCGGCAGAGGGTGGCCAGGGGCTGCGCCCGCCTCAGGGCCGCGCCGGCGGCGGCGGGCGGCCGCAGCAGCAGGTCCCGAAGCATCGCCGAGCTTCGCAGCCGCATCATGCCGCCGGGCTCGTCGGCGCCCGCTCGGGGAAGGGAGGATGCTCCAAGCGTGGGCGGCGGGCTGGCCTCCGGGAACGCGGTCTCCTGGTGGATGTGGGGGGTGCCCGGCGAGGGAGGGCCACGGACCAGAGGGGCTACGAACGTGGGTGTGGTTCCGGCTCGGGCGCCAACTTCCGCAGCCTCCGAGGCTGCTGCTGCTGCTGCTGCTCCCCGGCTCCTCAGGGTAGCTTCGCTTCACACCGCCGAGGGCTCCGCACTGAGACTGAAGCGCCGGGGAGGGCCAGAGACATTCCGCGCTTACACTCCGGGGGCGGGAGGACGCCCGCGACCTGCCCCCTTTGCCGGGCTCCGATTGGCTCCGATCATCGACCTCTCTCCTGATTGGTGTCTGCAGCAGTCAAATTCCTCTCCGCGGCGGGTGCAAAGGAGAGCGGGCGGGGGACTGGCGGGGAGCGGCTGGGGCGGGGAAAGGAATGAAACTGACGTGTGAGGTCGGGGAGAGCCAGGCTGGGCTCCCGGGTAGCCTTTTCCCTCTCGCTGCCTCCACCCCGAGGCTCTCCGAGTGGAGAACTGGAAGGAGGGGCGGGGGGTGGGGGTCCAGGGGTCTCAGATGTTTCCTACAAAACCACCCACGGGGCCTTCTCCTGACTGGGGAGAGTGGCGTACTAGATCCCCCGGCGCCGAGGGGCGGACGGTTCTTGGGTTGAGCGGCCGTCAGTGACCACCGGCCAGCCGCCCGGGCCGTCGAGGCACGGCACCACAGAGCGTGCGGCTACCCCCCCTCCCCCGCTGTCGGGTCAAGACCCCGGGCTCTGCCTCTGGGGGGCGTGGGGGGGCCGTAGTTCCCCGAAGGCAACCCCGGACAAGCCTAGCTCTCTTCCCCCCTCTCAAATGTTACATTTACTTGAAACTTTCCACGCTTGGCGACTACCCAGAGGTGAAGTGTTTTGGAAAAAATGAGCAAAATCCTCTCAGCTATGCGATTTAGCCACTTGGAGGGTTGGAGTTTCGAGGTCTGGGGATGGGGTGGTGAGGGGGGGAGGACGGAGAAATTCCAAAATGTCTGCTTTCTTTTTTTTTCTTTCCTTTTTTCTTCTCTTATTATTATTATTTTTTTTTTAGAAATGACTGTTTTCCATGTTCACCGATTCTTCTTAAAGATGTTTGAAGAGGAACGATTCACTTTGCACACTAGTTTGCTTTAAGAGTCAGACCTGTCGACTTGAAACGCTGCTGCATCGTTTTAAAATAGAAGTAGGTGAATACTGGTTCTCTACAGCGTTCCCGTTTAATATCACTTGATCCACTTATCCTTCCGGACGTGTGAAAAATAAAAAGGAGCCGAGATTCTGAGTATATATATATATATATATATAAGTTCCATTTCAGGACAAAGATGTTTTTGGTGATTTTCCGAGTCAAGGTGAAGGGAATCATTTTTATGAAATTGGAAGGGTGTGTATCAGGTGCGTCACTAATCACCGTATTTGTAATCTATGAATCTCTAAATACTGCACTAGATTAATAATTAGGAAATCTGGCTGTACTTACAGGTTCTGTGACCTTTAGCATGTCAGTTTTCCCATGTTTAAATTTTTTCATTGTGCTCTTCAGCAGAAGGAACATGGAAAAATCAGTCATGTGTAAAACAATCACCTCAGTAATAAAAAAAAAAAGTAAGGCAGATAGGACAATTGCAAATTATTTCAAGTCTATTACTATTATCTTATATTCAAAGTAATGTATTCAGAAAAAAAGTCAAACTCTGGAGGAAAGGCAATATACACCACTTTTGCCCAATCCTTCCAGTCTAACTTATTAATGACATAAACTTACACGAGAGTACATTCTAGATACAAACTACTAGTTTTGACTGCTTCCTTTTCCTCAGCCACATCCAAGTTTTTGACAAATCCAATTATTATTTTCCTCCTGATTTTTTTTCTTAGTTCTTCTAGGAAACTAAGAAAATACTTAATAGTAGAGTATACAAATCAGGCCTAGTAAAAATATTATTCTTAAAGTTTTTACTTTGAGAAATGAGTTGTTCTGTAAACATGTAGAAAATAACATTTAGAACTTGGAGTCAGCTGAAATTTAACTCCTTGTGAAAACATTATAGACAGCAAATTGTAGCTACTATAACAAGAATAAAAATGTAGCTCAGTGCTTGTGTTTGAGTCTTACTCTAAATTTTAATGTTTATTGAATTTTTAAAATCAAATAAAGGAGAGCTGGAAAGATAGTACAATGAGGGGGGTGATTTCCTTGCATACAGCCACCTAGGTTTGATCCCAGCATCCTGTATGTTACCCCAAGCAATACCGGGAGTGATCCCTGAGCACAGAGCCAAGAGTAAGCCCTAGAAACAGGAGTGGCCAAAAAAAGAAAACTAAATAAAATAAAATACTTGGAATAGCTTGGAAGCATGTGCTGAAGGGAATTGCTATTTCTATTAAGTTCATTGTTCACCCAAAATAGCAAATTAAAATAAAATCAACCACTGTGAAAGCTTTTTTTTTTCTTTTGTAGTGCCAAGTATCAAGTCCAGGGCCTCATACAAGATGCAGCTCACTGGCCTACATCTCCAATTCCATAAAAGCATTTTATGCATGATAGTACTCCATCAAAATATCTTCCAGCAGGTAGAAAATGATCCTGCAGGTTAACCAGTAGATGCATTGTCATAATGACTCTCCGACTTCTTCACTACAAAATAAACACAGCTAGTTGTGGTCTCATTGTCATTGAAAGAGTAATCAGTCTTCATAAGAAAAAACTGCAAGGGGTCTGAACAATAGTACAGTGGGTAGGGCATTTGCCTTGAACTCAGCCTCCATCCCTGGCATCTCATATGGTCCTCCAAGCACCGCCAGGAGTAATTTCTGAGTGCAGAGCCAGGAATAACCCCTGAGCATCGCCGGGTATGACCCGAAAAGAAAAAAAAAAAAAAGAAAGAAAATACTGCAAGTTTTGCACTTTGTTTTTGTTCTAACTAGAAGAATAGTTCCTGAATTTCCTTTTCAAGATTAAGAAAAGCTAATGTTTTGAGATCGTAATGTAACCTTTATATAAATTCCAGATTTTTCCTCTGTAAAAACTGAAAGGGTAATTCTAATAGAGCTAATAAAAAAAATAATTCTCCATTGACTAACAGTTTAAAAGATTTCCATGTGTTTTATTTGAAAAGTTTCTATATAGAGAACAGAAAAAGATTCAAGAAAACTTTAAGCAAGCTTCTGCTATTACTTCCGTTTCTTTAGTTGGTTTCCTGCCTTAAGTGGTCAACTACTAGCCTCCCTGATAACATGACTTTTTAACCAAAACTAAATGTAGTGCTGTAATACTATAAAGTGTTATTTATATCATTTATATAGTGAGAGTAATACTAGAGTCTACAGAGTTGCTGTTAGGATTAAATGACCAACGCATATAAAATACTTAAAATAGTTTTAGCATTCTTTGTTAGCTACTATTATTTTATTCGGCTAATGAATAATTTTTGTTTGGCAATGTGGTTAGTTGTCACATCTATTATTAAAAAGCCAATCTGGGAGTTGTTTTAAAACATATAATCATAAAATACCATTTAAGAAGTTAACTTTTCAAAGTGAGATTGTGTATGTACTTCAGTTTTAGAACACAAACCAATAATTTCTAAAGTATCTTAAAATAGAGACTACTGTAGAGATGTCAGGTTAAGCAAAGCTGGGCTCAGTGCCCAAGGTACCAGTTAATTACAAATTTTAAAAATACTGAAGAAAGAATAATTGCTGGCGGGGGGGGGGAGGGGAAACTGTCTTGAATGTGAATGTTATATGCTATTAAATCTAAAATCTATCATTTGCCATTTATGTAAATTAATCCTTCATTCCGTGCAACCCGACTCAAAAGATCTTCAAAACATTTTTAGAGAATGTTTGAATGATCTTGTTTAAAATACTAACTGTATGAACTTCTTCTGGAAGATCTCCTGGTGGCTAAAATAGGAGTATAGGAGTGGGATAGGAGTGGGATGGAGGGCAGTTATTTTCTTTCATTCAGAGTAATATGGTAACAGTTCAGGTTATAAGTTAATGTGTATACTTAGATCACAATTGTATTCATAGAGCCTCCAAACATTTATTGATTTTTCAAAGTGATTGAATTGTTACTTTCTTTTAAACATTTGCCTTTTATTTTATTTATTTATTTTGCTTTTGGGGCCACACCCAGCAATGCACAGGAGTCACTCCTGGCTCTGCAGTCAGGAATTACTCCTGGCGGTGCTTAGGGGACCATATGGGATGCTGGGAATCAAACCCAGGTCGGCCACGTGCAAGGCAAATGCCCAACCCACTGCGCTATCTCTCCAGCCCCTGTAATTGTTATTTTTATAGAGTCACAAATAGCATTAGGTTAAACCCCATTCCCAGAGATAAAGAAGTCTTAAAAAATAAAAGTAAAGCCTTGGGACTGGAGAGATGGTAAAAGGGTTAAATTTGCAGCCAGCTTGTCTTTTTTGCAGCCAACTCTTTTGAGTTCCTGGTACCACATATGGTCCCCAGAATACCACAAGAGTGATCCCCTGAACCCAGAACCAGAAGAAAGCCCTGAGCTTTGAGTATGCCCCCCCCCCAAGCAAAGAAAAATTAGTAAAGCCTTAAAAAACTGTTATTAGGGGCTGGAGCAATAGCACAGCGGGTAGGGCTTTTGTCTTGCACGCAGCCAACCTGGGTTCGATTCCCAGCATCCCATGTGGTCCCCGAGCACTGCCAGGAGTGATTCCTGAGTGCAAAGCCAAGAGTAACCCCTGAGCATCACAGGGTGTGACCCAAAAAGCAAAAAAACAAAAACAAAAAACTGTTACTAGTATTTCAAAATCAGTCAAAAAAAAAACAACTTCATGGCCAAAGAGTATCATTCCCAAATTCTTCCTCCTGACTACCCCCAAATGGTATGGTGCCTCCCAAAAGGACTTTATCTTTCCACCTGGTAGCATGGCATCTTGGTCTTATGCCTTTATTTATTCAATGAAATGTGAAAAAAAGTGTTCACCATGACTAAGGTGAAACATTTTTGGCAGGGAGAGGTTGACAGGGATTCAGACCCAAGGTTTTCTA